CATACACACCTAACCAAATGAAACTTCATCTAGATAGACAATCGTTTAATTATATCATTCATTGCTAGTATTAAATTAAAAATGAATAAATCATAATGTCGAAATAACTTTGATAATACTTTAATTCTTCTCCATCATTATGCGACCAAATTATCATCATAATCAGTTAGCATCACACCGCAAATCACTGTACTTTTCTTCATTTCATATGAATTCATGCATTTTCTTATTTGTCAAATTATTTCCGTTCTTTTTCATTTTTCATCCCACGCAACTCATAATCTCTTAGTTTTATTCTTCTTTTCGATTGCTTTTTTGAGGATTCTCTGTCTGATTGCATTCTTTTCTCTTCTCTCTCAATACATTATTGTTTCTTCTTGTTCGATATTTTGATCTTATTTCACCTTCAACAATGATCAAGCTCTTCTTAGCGTGTTTCGTTTCAATTTTATGTTTCATTCTTTCGATGATCATTGAATCGTCAGATGTAATTTCGATAACAATTTTATGGCACACAATGATCCAACACCAGCACCGTATTTTCTTGATAATGTACGTAATCAAACATTCACCATACGCTGCTCATGACAGAATCATATTGTTTCAGCAATTCTGTCACAACTGAACAATAAATTCGTATGAAATTGTTAAAATAAAATTCCATTCAGTCGAAAATTGTTTTGAATGTTTATTTCAATTTGCTTGCATGAAAACGATTTTCGCACTGAAGAATCTATCAATTCATGCGCAATAGGTACACATGTACATACGGCGATGAACGAGCGAACGAATGTTTCGCTTTAAATCCACCTCAATGCTGCTTTTCGATTGAGCGCAATCGTTTAGAAAGTTAATTCGAAATGAAACTAAACGAGCAGGAACAGAAAAGTGAGATCATGAGGATAATGCTTAACTAATTAAACGAATGGACGGATAGATGGATGGATGGGTTATGACTGAGATAGAAACAGAAACAGAAGCAGTAGTAGCAGCAGTAACAACAACAACAGTGCACCGTTTCAGTTGTAGCTCGTCATCCGTCATCACTATCCTTCTCATGATTCTCTTTCATGCATACCTAAGGGGCACCTTTTAAATTGAAGTTGACTAACTCAGCCAGAAAATCTGCCGCTGATCCTGTTACTCTTGCTTATCGTCAATTACTCGCTGCTCTTGCAGCTTATATTATCTTCAACCAATTCACAACGATTACTGGTTGTCCGACTGGCTCACCGATATACCTATCTGTTCACCTAGCTACCTACACGGAAAAGATGACTGAGGAGGAATCTTATGGATAAAACTTTAAAAAATGTCTTATGTTCTGAATTCTGAATGACATGACCAACTGAATGGCAGTAAACTTGATGAAACGTATTTCAAGCACTAACGACATCTACTTGCTAATGTCTTGTTGAAAACCACTGCTCTCTCCTCCATTTTTCTTCTAGACGGCTTCATTCCTTCGAAACTACCTGTCATGAAAAACAGTTCCCAATACCATTATGATATTCAATTTCCCTCTGTCTTTGTTATCAGCTGAACAAAAGGTTGAGTGACACTACCGTTTTCTTCAAATTGCTGTGCATTATTGTCATCAATTTTTTGATCATATTTTTGAGCATATCACCACCCAACTCGTCATCAACACATCCCGTCAAATCCCGCCCATCTCGAGGGTTGGTAAGCATTTGCTATGATACCATTTATGAACAGATGAAAATATTCAAAATTTTTTTTCGTTTTTTATTCAAGTGCATTTACTCGGATTCCTTTCGGTGATCATTACTGCTATCATCCGTTCTATTATCTTTTCACCAACTTCTTAAGAGCAAAGAATTTTCTAGTCTTAAAGAGACGATAGTGATCAATCGACGAATGAAAAGTGAAGCGCGTACAGAGACAAATCTCAAGAACACGCCCATTTACCTCCCTCCTCCTCCCCCTTCGTTTTCGTTTTCCCAAACAGTCAATCTTAATCATCTTCGTCTTAATCGAAAGTGACCCTACCTCCTTTCCCCTGTGCATCATCTGGGTGGATTGTCCAGTTTCGTTTCAAACGCCATAGCATCAGAAGCAACGTATACTCTGAAAAGGTTGAAAGCCTGAAATGTTGCGAAATCTTTGAGACCAGAAATCGACAGATTACTCTATTATTGTCGAAATGATGATTGTTTACAATTCAAGCCTTTCTCTACGAATTCCCGAGGCTTATGACTGTCAGCCGTCTTCTGTCTATGCGAAGGGAAACTGACTTAATGCAAGGAATTCTAGTTTGCAAGGGTCAAAAATGCAAACTTTTCTGGCTTGGCATACCTATAATTTACTTGATGATTCTTCAGTGAGTAGCCAATTGCTACTGCTATTATGATTATCGCCATTGATTGCTTATCGCTAATATTATTTTTACATTTCTGTTGTTTTTCTTCATCATCATCGCCCAATAATCCAGCATTAAATGTCGCACATATTATTAGACAATCGCCATCTGTCAACATCAGATCCTCGTCATTCTCTTCAACTCGAAAAGAATTTTCCGTTACCGCTGCCAGCAAAACCTCAGCAGACGGACTAAACAGAAATAATAATACGCAACAGTGTCGTCGTCTTCCTCAGGCGATAATAATTGGTGTTAAAAAAGCAGGCACTAGAGCGTTACTTGAGTTTCTGCGACTGAATTCAGCGATTCGAGCGCCTGGTCCTGAGGTGCATTTCTTCGACAAGAACTTTCATCGTGGCTTCGAATGGTATCGGTACGTTACTTTCACGAAACTTTTTAAAGCCACATTAATTTTTCAATTTTTCACATTCACATAGTTTTTCAGTCATTCCACACTCTTCATATAATTAGTTCTTATGTAACTGTCAGAATGGCTCATTTCACTTTTCAATTCATTCAGTCCTCTGTTTCCTCAAACAAATAATCAGAATATGCTCACCACCTCTGATTAAATTATGGCCCCCTATTTTAAAATCATCATCACATAATCTACTGGACTTATCTTAAGATCGCTTCCTGAATCTTGTTTATCTCAAATCTCATATTGCTCTTATACTGACGTACAGTACAGGTTTGGTAATAACGATGGTAGAATTGTGTATTGGTAAGATAAACAGTTTTTATGGAATGATTGCATATGGTCACTAGAATATATCCATCGGCTTTGTGTTAATGTATAGTTAAATAGCTAGATGAGATATTCCAACTAGTCCGTTGAATGAGCGACTTATGCTAATGTATTTCGATGCGTCATTTCGTACTCGTTGTTGGGGTTATATGCACTTTAAAAGCGATTATTTCTAAAGTGATCATCACTGTTCGTTTCATTTTAGTGAATCGAATTGCTTGTTTGCCTCAGTCGTCATCTTGATGTTGCTCTTCCTTTCTGAAATGAATTGTTGCCGGTCAATTGATTTTCTGTTTTTAATTCATTCAGAAAACCATTCTTGAAGAAGTTTCCTTCCATCACGCTGGTTTCATTTCATTCTGGAATGCAACTGATTGGATGAACGAGATGTATTATTAATCTGAGAATCACCGAAACCATGCATTTCTTACTGATCGTTCTTTAAGAAAATTGAAGTGGGTTGAGAATTTGTTTAGTTGTTTATCCTTTAACACATTACCTCATACACTCAATCATCATGAGGATAATAATAATACTATTAACATTAAATCCCATATCTTTTCAACTTCGCATCTCTGTGTATTATCGTTTCCGTACTACATCCTAATTTGCCTTCATATTTGTTTGTTGTAATTGGGTTACTAAATAGACTGATAGATGTATATATGTGATGAGGCGATGTGATGTGCCAAATAGCTATTTATTTCATTTCATTTCTTCTTCATGTCCTCTTCTTGATACTAATTAACAATTATCCATTAAGCATTTTGCATGCTCTGCAGTGGTGCATCATGTAAATTGTCAGCGCATGATACTACTAATTCATACTTTTAGTACGACTCTCCCATCCGAATGCAAGGAGTATTCTGGGATATCCATCAAATAAATAATAGCAACATTTGTATTCTGTTTACCTCTTTCGCATATTTTATCAACTAACAATCAATTGAGCATCAGCTAACATCATTAACGTCAGACTGCTTCTTTAATACCACGAACAGGTCATCATTTTCGTAGTATTCGTTCTATTCAGAATAGATATACTTTATTCTAGTCATTTGTTGATGATAATCATGACAGCTCAAATGATGATGATCATCCTCCATCGCTGTGAAAACAGCTCACATAAGTTACCTGATCCAACATATTGATTGACGATTTCTTGTTGATTACAATTGTACAAGCAAAACGATCAAGTATTGATTACTACGATCATCTATTTGTTTATCTGCCCATCAATTATCAGCTCTGCGTCATCACATTTATGATTTACGTTACGAGTGTGACCAACGTATAGATAATTTATTCGCGATAGATCGCTCCTTATCACCTTTATCACTTATTTAACGGTTATATGTGTTTGCATAAAACAGTATATGAGGTATACATGGCCTGAATACAAACAGCTCATATGTGTTCGATGTTTGCTAAATTTACAAACAAATAATCAAATCGCTTGACCATTTTTCAAGCATCAATCATTTTAATATTAATCAAATAATATCATTGTCACTCTTCCTACTCTTATTGTTATTCTATCTCATAGTGAGCGGAATGCAGCTAGGAATGGACAATAGCATCGTTTTATAAACAGAGTGATGATGATGGTGATGATGGTAGTGATGATGATGGTGGTGATGATGATAGTGATGATGATGGTGGTGGTGATGATAGTGATGATGGTGGTGATGATGATAGTGATGATAGTGGTGATGGTGGTGGTGAGGATAGTGGTGATGGTGGTGGTGAGGATAGTGGTGATGATAGTGATGATGGTGGTGGTGATGATAGTGGTGATGATAGTGGTGATGATGGTGGTGATGATGATAGTGATGATAGTGGTGATGATAGTGATGATGGTGGTGGTGATGATGATAGTGATGATGGTGGTGATGATGATGGTGATGATAGTGGTGATGGTGGTGGTGAGGATAGTGGTGATGGTGGTGGTGAGGATAGTGGTGATGATAGTGATGATGGTGGTGGTGATGATAGTGGTGATGATAGTGGTGATGATGGTGGTGATGATGATGATAGTGATGATGGTGGTGGTGATGATGATAGTGATGATGGTGGTGGTGATGATAGTGATGATGGTGGTGATGATGGTGGTGATGATAGTGATGATGATGGTGGTGATGATGGTAGTGATGATAGTGGTGATGATAGTGGTGATGATGGTGGTGATGATGATGGTGGTGATGATGATAGTGATGATGGTGGTGATGATGATAGTGATGATGGTGGTGGTGATGATAGTGGTGATGATGGTGGTGAGGATAGTGGTGATGATAGTGATGATGGTGGTGGTGATGATAGTGGTGATGATAGTGGTGATGATGGTGGTGATGATGATAGTGATGATAGTGGTGATGGTGGTGGTGAGGATAGTGGTGATGATAGTGATGATGGTGGTGGTGATGATAGTGGTGATGATGGTGGTGATGATGATAGTGATGATGATAGTGGTGATGATAGTGATGATTTACGTATCAAGTTCAGCATGAAAGATTTATTTCCGTGAATTGTCGCTGTTGTCGTTAATAAGATACTCCACATTTGCGTTGTACAATGAACAAGGTCGTTCGTTACAGGGCAGATTGCGGTGTTTGAGATAAGACAGGCAGGTATTGCGCACATGTTATAGAAGATATATCACTAGTTGTTCATCGGTGGCTTAAGACAGACGTATGGGTGTATTTTTGAATTGTCATTATATTCGACTGCTTGATATTTTGAATGCATGGTGTTACGTTTGGAATTTTCATTATTGATCAGTGTTAATGAATGAAATACATGTTCATACTTTTTGCATTCAAAACTAAATATTACTGCGTACGTTCATTGAGTGCTGAAAGTTGGTGGTAACCATAATTGTTATGTTTTCGACAGATAATAAAAAGAATAAGTGGTGGTTCAGTGGTGCATATACCTGAGATAATGGCAATACGAGTAATAATGATGGAGTTAATGATGCTTGTATATACTATAAACGGAACAGCACAAGACAACAGCCCTAATCAAAATATGCTAAAATTCTTTTAATTAATTGATGCACTTTTCAGTCGCGCCTAGGTTGGCAGGCACCCTGTTTGCCAGTTTTTTTTCACCGTTATTTCTCAACTATTACTGATCGTCATCATTATCGTTATCGTGATCGCCATCAGTATTATTTTATTACGTCCTGATTATCATCAGCCTTCGATTGTGATTAAAATTTTTACTTCTATGCACTCACTTCAGCAATAAATGAAATATAAAGTGAACATCCATTTCCACTAACTCTTCCCAGTAGTTTTCCATGATAATTTTCCGTATTCTTTTCGTTTTTTGTTCCATGTTGTGATGATAATCTCACATACTGTTTACCGTTGCGACTGCTGTTGCCATCTATAATTAGATGCGTTATTGTTGACGGATATGAACCGTATTTAATTCTGATTGAGTTGTAAGCAGTTTTTACTTAGGTGATTATTAGTTTCGTGGTCGACTGACGGACTGCAGACCGACCGGCCGACCGTTGAACAGGCGCTCTGTTATGTGCGTACTCATATTTACATACAAGTCTAGTAAGTGGAATGTATAATGGCCATAATATTTTGAGCAGCCGTGTCAGTAATTTGCCACACATTGTTATTGTTTTATTGCTTTCTTGTGAACAGCGTTCATTCATATTCGTTGATTAACTCAAGTTCAATTGTAGCACATAAATATTCATTCATCCCATTAAATACTAAAATACGTTGTAAAACACCGTATGCTGTAGGTACATCGTACAAATACGATTTGATATGAGCACATCGAATGCTTATAAGAATATGTTTATATACAATTCGTATATAAATATATTCATATAAGCATTCCATGTGCTTATATCAAATATGAATATATTT